CCTCCTACAGTTTGTTAATTCATTTAAAGCTTTTATGTACCATTCTTTAGCAAAAAGCTCTCAGTAGTGGCAGTAAGAGAGATAAGTGCATAGTTTCACATCAATTGCAGTTTTATCTATTTTCACATGCAAAATTAACTCTTTGGGGAAAACTGGGCAAGTAAACATTGCCATTTGAATACTTGGAAGTAAACTTTAAATTGCTGGCCCTGAATGGGCAGGCAAAGCTTTACTTTGGCTCACTCACAGGTCCTGATGATAATTTCCCACATGTTTTGCATGCTAAATATGATTTGCCAGGTACATCTGAATGCCAATATATGCAACTGAAGCACCTGTTAGAATCCAGGTTCAAAGCCCCCTTCATTACTGGATGTATTGATCGAGGCTGAACAGCTACACTGGTGCACAATCTATGCTTATAAATAAGTGCTGCTGGTGAAATATGCTGAGGCTTAAGCAAGAACAGAATCATGAAATGGAGCATCATGAAATGGAAAGTTCCACCCAGTTGATGGAGTGCTACATCGGCATCTATTTCAGAAGGGCTAATGGATGTTAGGTTATGCTGAAATCAGCAAAAAAGGATGTTTCAAGCACATCGCATGCCACAATGTCTTTTAACCAGGGCCTAATTAAATTGGCTAATTGTTGGAGCAGCAATACCATGCCATTCTTGAATACTTGATTCTAAAGGATGCAAAAGCCAAAGGTAGCCAGAAATGTGCCCTGGGTTTTAGGAAAGCCAATTTTAATAAACTCGGAACGATGATAAGTAAAGTCCCATGGCAAGTGACTCTAATGAGAAAAGGAGTCCAAGATGGGTGGTCATTTTTAAAAAGGGAAATTCTAAAGGCACAATTACAAACACTTCCAACAAGGAAAAAGGTAGAAAACAGCAGAAGCCCATATCGCTTCAAAAAGCCTTAAGGATAATCTGAAAACAAAAAAGACACAAATAGGAAGTGGAATGAAAGCCAGAAAGGAAGAATACAGGCAGGTCGCATGGAATTACAGGGATGACATCAAGAAGGCTAAAGCTAGGAATAAACTGAGGCTAGCGAGGGATGCTAAAAGCAACAAAAAGCCCTTTTTCAGATATGTCCAAAGTAAAAGACAGGAAAGGAAGGGTGGTTCAACTGCGCAAGGTGGATGGCAACGTGATCACAGATGACAAAGAAAAGGCACAAGTACTCAATTGCTACTTTGGCTCGGTCTTCTCCTGAAAGAAGATCTCTAACCTTCCTGATGAAGGGAAAGTACAAGCTGAAGGAGCAGAATGGCAGCTCAAGGTTGAGAGACAAATGGTCAGGGTTGAATGAGTCAAATCTCCAGGGCTTGATGAACTCCATCCTAGAGTCAGAAAGGAGCTGGCAAAGGAACTCTTGGAACCACTGTCTAATCTCATGAGAAATCATGTTGTCCCTATTTTCAAGAAAGGGGGAAACAACAACAAGAAGAACCTGAGAAATACAGACCAGTCAATCTGACATCAATCTGGAAAATTCTGGAAGAAATTATAAAGCAGTCAGTCCACAAATACTTGAAAATAATGCAGTGATTACTAGACGCCAACATGGAACAAATCATGCCAGACCAATCTGAATCCATGTTTTGACTGGTACCCTCCATGATGGACTGTGGGAATGCTGTGGACAGAGTCTATCTTGACTTCAGCACAGCTTTTCATAAAGTGCCCCATGATATCCTGATTAGCAAACCAGTTAAAAGTGGACTAGATGGAACAACCATCAGGTGGATCCCCAGTTGGCTACAGAATCAAACTCAAAGAGTGCTCATCAGTGGCACCTTCAGTGGCGGTAAGAACTGGGGTACTGTAGGGTTCAGTCCAGGGTCTAGCGCTCTTTGTATTAATGATTTGGATGAGGAAGTGCAGAGTACAATTATCAGATTTACAAATGCCACAAAACTGGATGGGATATCTAAAACCTAGGAAGACAGAAGGAAGATTCAAGATGATCTTGATAGGTTGGAGCACTGGGCTGAAAGCAACAGAATGACTTTCAATAGGGACAAATGCACCTAGGAAAAAGAAACCAAAAGCATTGCTACAAGGTAGGGAATACTTGGCTCAACAATACTGTAAGTGAGAAGGATCTTGAAATTGTTGTAGATCACAAGCTGAATATGAGTCAACAATGGGATGTGGCTGCAAAAAGGGCAAATGCTGTTTTAGGCTGCATGAATAGACATTTCACTTCCAAATCACATGAAGTACTGCTTCCTCTTTACTCAGCACTGGCTAGGCCTCCTTTGGAATACTGTGTTCAGTTCTGGGTATCACAGTTTAAGAAAGATGCAAAAAAGCTGGAAAGGGTTCAGAGAAGGGCAACAAGGATGATCTGCGGACTGGAAACAAAGCCCTACAAGGAGAGATTGAAAGAACTGGGCATGTTTAGCCTCAGGAAGAGTCGTATGATAGCATTCTACAGGTACTTGAAAGGCTGCCGCAACGAAGAAGACCAGAACTTCTTCTCAATCATCCCAGAGTGCAGGACATGGAATAATAGGCTCAAGTAACAGGAAGCCAAATTCCAGCTGAATATCAGGGAAAATGTCCTGACTGTTAGAATAGTACGATAATGGAACAAATTATCCTGGGAGGTTGTATGCTCTCTCACACTAGAGGCATTGAAGATGCAACTGGACAGCCATCTGAGAGGGATGATGTAACTTGGAGTCCTGGCCTTCTGGCCCCTTCCAACTCTATTATTTTGTGGTAAGAGATTAATTTGTCAATTACCTATACTGCCTTTTGCATTGACTAAAATGATGGCGGCTGCAATTCTATACACATTTATCACTGGTTGGAGAATGCTGGGATTTTAAGTGGGACCTGATGGCTTCTGGTCTCTTCCAACTCTGCAGAATAGTTGAGTTCTGTTCTAATGATTTTATGATTCTAATAAACTTTTAATTTTCAACCAGGTGGTTTTCTAAAATATAATTTACAAATGAACAAATATATGGATATTTGGGTTACTTTTGTTGAAGTCTATGCATAACTGACTTCAGTAATAGAACCGTACCTTACAGTCAGGGTACATAGTGTATATATGTTCACTGTAATAGATTTATTTAAACCTCATTTTAAAAAGTTGCAATTTTATTTTATTTTTACTTTATTCCCCCCTTTTTGCTCATTTGGGTTTTGCTTTTGAATTCCACAATAGTATGTTTTAAAAGCAGCTCAAAATAAAAGCTGCCTTGGGTGAGGAACTCCACTGCAAAGAGCAGTCACCAGTCTACGTCATGGCATTGATGAGAAAGAGGAGAAACCCTCACTGGTGACAGGGGGGATGAGAAAGAGGACTCGCCCAGCAGTGGGGGCATCAAGAGCATCTTCTCTGACCGCCCTCAAACATCTGGACTAGCAGCCTAAGGCAATAGATGGGGCTGTCCATTTGTGGGCATGTTAGAAGGCAGAAGGGGCGATGCACCACAGGTGTGGGTAGAAATCCTGCTGAGTGCGTGCCTTGGATCCAGATGTGCACCATGGCATGGATGAACACCAGGATGAGCAGCTGCATGCAGTCTGAGTATGCCGTTCCCGTTCAGCAAGGGAATTGGGACAGCTGCCTCATTGACTCAGGATACTCTGAGACCACACAGGTACACTCGCAATCTAGAACAGAAGGACACTTGTACTCGCCAAAGTAGTCCCCACGGCAGCTCTTCCCACACCTCCCTACTCTGACACACCGTCCGACTGGGGGCACTGCAGAGAGCATGTCTGCAACCATCCTCCTCAGCTCTGCAAAAGCACAATTCTGAATAGATACAACTGCTTAAAGCACACGTGGAAATTGCTGTATGGGCAGCCAAGCACAACCCTGTGCAGGGAACACCCACAAGGAGCTCCAGATACCAGTGCACAAGCAGGGGGTTTTGCAGTGCCCTGGGGCTGCTCTCCTGCTGTTGCAGCTTCTGCCTTTTTTGTTCTCTCTCCCTCCCCCCCCCCTCCGCGGGGGGGGGGGCCCCCCCCCCCCCCCCCCCCCCCCCCCCCCCCCCCCCCCCCCGTGACTGCTGTTTTCTCATTTCCCCTCCAGGGCCAGCCTTACACAGCATTCCTTTTCTCCTTCTCCTTCCATATCACAGTTTTTCTGGCTGAATTCTTCTTTACTTGTGGAATGAGCCCCATTGTTTCCCTTTGTCTTGGTAAATGGAATACAGCATTTTAAGAGCCATTTGCCCCTTGGTGCAAGACCAGGATTGCTCCAGGTGCCCAGGGCATGCAAGCGAGCAAAAGGAGAGTGCTTTCATAGCCGCTCCAGCCCTGCTCCCTTGCCTTGCCACGCATTCATTCACGCCTTCGAAACTTGAGTGCAGCCCTTCCATTTTGTTCTTGTCCCGAACTGGCCTCTGCACTGCCCCAAGGACGGTACCTTCCAGGACTCTGGTTATGCTAATTGCTTGACTCAGGACGCCCTATACTTTGCAGTGCTTGGACAAACCCGGCATTCAGCAGCCCACCCACCCACTCACTCCAAGGCAGCCTGGCTGGCCGGCCGGCCTCCCGGGACACACACAAGGCCCTGCTCTCATCCTCCTCCCTCAGCCTGGAGAAACACTCTTCTCTTCACTGCCTCCCGGGGCCAGCATGCAATGGTCGCTCCCCTTCCCGGGGATGTCTGGGAAGTCCTTCCACTACAATATCTGCCCTCACCCCCTGAAGTCGCTGGCTTTTGGTTGCTCCCGCCCTTCTCCCTTGAGCAGAGCCAGCCCTGGATGCAGGGTGGCTGTGCTCACCCCAGAGAAAGCCGGCATGCCTGCCGGGCAGCACGGACAGTTGTCCCATCTGTCAACATCCCTGCTGGCACCCTGGGATTGCTTCCTGGTGCCAGGCAGGCCCACCTCCCTGGCGATGAAGCGATTCGGGGTTGCTGCTTCCCTTCTTAAAGTGCCAGACCCATCTCGTTCTCCATCATTCTGTGGCAGAAGGAAGCATCGGCAGAGCCTTCTGTCGGCCGTCCGTTGAGATGGAGTGGGCTCCAAAACTGGTAGGTGCTTGGCCTCCTTTGTGCCTCTTTTATTTACTTTCTCTGTATTAATGGCCTGTCAGGCTTGTTTGCTGTGAGAAGTGTAAATTTGGCCTGGATGAACTATTGCTTGTGGTGCCTGGCATGCAAGAGGAGGAGACAAACACCGACTCCTAACAGCAAAAGGGGCCCAGAGAAGAAAGCATGTCTGCTTTCACGGACAGCAACAATCAACATGAGCGCTGCCTTGGCATGGGGGCAAATGGACTCCAGCACAGGAAGCTCGACTTAGGGCCTAGGAATCTGGAAGCACCGGAAAAGTGCCGGATCAGCACACGGGCAGCCATGGACTGCTGCTCATGCTTCAGCATAGCAGAAGGCAGGAAATGGAGAGAATGGATGGAGGGGCAAAGGCGGGCGGGCAAGGAGCCCACTCAGCCAGGTATGGCAGATCTTCTAAGAGGACCTCATGCCTGACTACAGCTATGCAGTTCAAGGGACAAGGTTGTTGCATTTGTTTACCAAAACTTCTCTATTTTGAGCCAAGTACCTCTGGGCATGTGCAGAGAGCCTCTCCTGGACCAGGATGAGATCAAATCCCTGCTCAGGCATGAAACCCACTGAATGAGCCTGGACTCATCAGCTTAGAACTCAAACAGCCTTTACAGAAGGTAAAGATAAACGGGTGATCTCCACCTTGCCCTACACTCCTCAGAGGACAGGAAGGATACCAACAAAATAAATGTGACCTAAGGCTTTGTTTCTCTAATTGTTCTGAAACTCAGCTCTGCCCCTAACTTTACTCCATCTTCTGTCCCACTCTTATCACCCCCATGTGTACATGGCTGTGGGCTGTGTGCACACGCTCCCATCCGCTCCAGCCATCATGGTGAATGCTTAGGGATGTTAGGAGTTGTATCCTAAAATACTGGGATGGGCACGGGATCCACACCTGTGCTTTATTCTCCATTTTCCATATCCCTGCTGCTGAGCTCAGCAACTTTGCATCTGCATTTTTAAACCATGGTAGTTTTGTAGTGTTGTGGTTTAGGTTGTGTTTTATTGTAAAATAATTGCGTGACACCTAGTGAACTTGTTTTATAAGCATCATATACATTCAAATGACAGATTAAATGAAGAAGTAACCAGCTTGTCTCTCTTTTCCCCAGATGCTCCTCTGTGTCCTTTGCCTTTCCTTCACGTTTGATGTCACCACAGAAACAAAAGGGCAAAACAAAGGAACCAAGGGAAAAAAGAGAGGGTCAGTGAAGGTCCAGGAGCAGCGCCTGCGGGCTCAGGAATCCTCCCATGACCCAGTGCTGAGAGTAAATCCGGGGGCCTCCACAGACTTCATCCTCCTAGAGGATTACGAGCAGAGCATCCATGAGATGGTGAACCAGCTGCAGAACAGCTCTGAGCCCCTGGAGAGCAAGTGCCAGGTCAACCTGAGACTCTGGATGTCCAACAAGAGGAGCTTGTCTCCTTGGGCCTACAGGTGAGACAGAGCAGAACTCCTTATCTGGGCTTTAGACACCCAGGAACACACACACTGAGTTTCCCAGGAGTCTCTCTGTATTTATTGTATTTATACTCTGCCTGTTTCCTTTCCACAAACTTGAGCTCATTTACATAATTTTCCTCCCCCTCCCCTCAGTCTTACCCTCATAACAGCCCTGTGAGGTAGGTTGGGCTAAGAGTCTGTGGCTGGCCCAAAGTCACCCAGTTGAGCACTAGCTTCATGTTATTTTCAGTGTAACGTTCAAGGAATCCATGCTTCAGAGCACAATCACCAGTCCCAATATATAGTGGTACCTCGGCTCATGAACGCCTCAGTTCACGACCAAATTGGGTCGTGAACAGAAATTTCTGAAAAATTTTGCCTTGGGTTGCGAACTCCATATTGGGTGAAGATCGCGATTGCACCCACCTTCCCCGCCTCGCTCCAAGCGCACCTGCTTCAAATTTTTGTGATTAAAAAAAATAGTTGCAGAATAGATTAACCTTATTTGCATTGAACCTTATGGGGAAATTTGACTTGGCTCATGACCAATTTGGCTCATGACCAGAGTCCTGGAATGGATTAAGTTCATGAGCCAAGGTACCACTGTAATGGAGAGTCAAAGATACCTTTGCTTATCTTTGAAACTTTCTGTTTTTACAGCATTCCAGGGCTGGCAAACATATTAAAGGCAAACAGGCATGGAGTGGGGGATACTTAACATTATTAGTCATGAAGTCACATCACCTAGAAGGCTTGCAAAGCTTGCAGTGACATTCCTCAAACGCAGCTGAGCTACCTGCAGGACATGATTTTTCCAGGGGCAAAATACAGCACTGTCATATCTCTGAAACAGAAGTGTAGCCTGGGAAAGCATCTTGACTGCCAGATTGCCAGGCCTGCTTGTAAGTTGGGCGTGTGAACATGAGAGCTTGCTTTCGCTCTGCTCTATGGTGGTTCAGGAGTGCTGGAATGCATAGGATGCTTTTCTGTCTGACCATTCCCTGGATTGTGTCCTCAGATGTACATGCTGCAGCATCCATGCCTACCATTGTTTCTCACAAGCAGCCGATTGCCTACTGTGTGAACAGACTGCATGGCCATTTGGTTTGATTTGGAAGGACTCTTCTTAGTCTTTCTTGCCACATGAGGGAACCTCTCCCAAAATCTGGACTGGTGCTAAGGGCTGAAATGGAAATAATGGGAGTGAGGCTGCGTTACAATCACAGATTCGAAAGGGAATATTCTCGAGGCCGAGGCCTGTGCTGACACCAGAGTAATCCAGGAGGTCAGTGGTGGATTTGGTGGTGGCTGCAGGTCCACCAGCCTACTCTAATCCATTCTCAAGCAGGCTGAGGCTTAGAGGAACGCAGAGTCTGAAACAGAACTGGCTCAAGCTCAGTCTTCTTTTCTTTCTTTCTCCTGTATCCTTTTGCCTCATTGCAGGTATACCTTGGAGATATTACAGATTCAGTTCATGACCACCACAATAAAGTGGGTCCCACAAATCTTTTGGTTTCTCAGTGTATATAAAAGTTAAGTTTTCACTATATTATAGTCTATCAAGTGTGCAATAGCATTATGTCTAAAAAGCAATGAGCATACCTTAACTAAAAACATTTTCTTACTAAGCATTTTCTGAGCCTTCAGCAATTCATAATCTTTTCACTGGTGCAGGGTCTTGCCTCAGTGTTGATGGTTGTTGACTGATCAGGGTGGTGGTGCTGAAGGTTGGGGCGGCCATGGTAATTTCTTAAAATAAGAAAACTGTGACGTTTGGCTCATTGATTGGCTTCCTTTCACAAAAGATTTCTGTGTAGCATACAATGCTGTTTGATAGAATTTTACGCACAGTAGAACTTCTTTCAAAATTGGAGTCAATCCACTCCAACCCTGCTGCTGCTGAATCAACTAAATATTCTAAATCCTTTGTTGTCATTTCAACAATGTTCACAGCATCTTCACCAGGAAACCATTTTCTTTGCTCATCCATAAGAAGCAACTCCTCATCCTTAGCAGTCAAAACACACATCATTTAATGAGTTTGCCATCTTATATAGGCGTGGTTTGTGGTGTCCCAAAACAATTTCACTAGTAACATCAAAGAACTCAGATCACCATAACAAATATAATGATGATGAAAAGGTTTGAAATATTGTAAGAATTACCAAAAGGAGACACAGAGATACGAAGAGAGCAAACACTGTTGGGAAAATGGCATCAATAGACTTGCTTGATGCAGGGTTGCCACAAACCTTCATGTTGTAAAAAACGCAATAAAATCTGCAAAGTGCAATAAAGCAAAGAAAAATAAAACAAGGTATGCCTCCCACCCAGCCTCTAGCTCCACAGTTCCCTTCTCCTTCATAGCTCATTCTTTCTCCCACTCTTAACCTCCAGCCTAGCTTTTTCTATCTACTTCCTTGCTGTTTTCTCCCCATTCTCAGCTTATGGATTCTTTAAACTTACCTGTTTTTCAAGAGCTCTTCTCCAGGTTTCTTTTCCCTTTCATGTGGGGAAAATTGAGTATTACTTTAGAAAACAAAACTATTTTCCCACTTGTGTAATTGCTGTATTCCGCCATAGCATAGCTCCACCTAGAGGCTATGTAGCAGAAAGTCAGGAAAGGCAAAGCCTTTTGTGTTGTGCTCAGATCTCAACTCTGTGATGAAACTGGAAGCAGATACAGCCCCACTGCATTGTGCAGAAAAGTTCCCATATACCGAATGCTCCAAGGCCCCTCTCCCTGGCATTTTGTGTCATTGGCATAAGAGGACATATGTAATGGATAAAAAACAATAATTAGATGTTCTGACCAGTAGGTCCTATGTCCTGCAGCTGATCCAGAGGTTGTGGGTCTGGTGCAGTGTAGGTCGTGCAAGAGCAGGTGCTCATAGGTTCCTATGTGTACTTAATACCATCCTGTTCTTAGGAATCAGCCACGAAGACACAGCTGCCCTAGCCAAACGCCTTGGTGGCGGAGCTGTGCGCGGGCGCTGCCGTGCCCCCCCCTTGTGGTCTTCCGATGAGCTCGCAAACATTCTGCTTGTGCCTAGCAGGCAGCTGAGCCGTGGCATTCATCTCTTAAGGGGCAGAGACAACGAGGTTCAGGAGGTTCACAAGCTTCCCGGTTCTTGGCCAGTTGTGCCAAGGTAGCAGCCAGATGGTGGCCGTGCGCCACATCATGTCCCAGTGGCTCGTGCAGTGCTCTTCCTCCGCTGGCGTCTGGCCACGCCCACTCAGTGCTCTTACGCAAAGGCTTCTGCTGCTGGGAAAGACGGTGCGGCTTCCCGGAGCACAGCTGCGATGTGCCAGCAGCGGGTGGCACCATGCTCTGGCCTGCATGTGGGAGCAGCGTCTGGCCGTAAGCGAAAAGGCGAGAAGGGGGCCACAGCTCTCGTCCTCATGTGCCATTGGCTATGCTGGCTAAGGCTGATGGGCCGTGCAGTCCAAGGGGGGCCACCCATTCCCCACACCTGCTGTAAGGGGTTCCAAGATGACCTCCAGGCAGATGCTGCTGATCCCAGGCCCAGCCTTGAGAGCAGGGGTCCCAGGGAGGGCTTGGGATCACATAGGCAACAGGCGCTCCTTCCTACCTCATTTTGTGGGGAGCAGGCGCTTGACAGCAGAGATTCGGAGAACTTGACCACTGAGCATATCCACCCCATTACATCTGCAGCCTTACCATGTGGCCTTCTGTGCATAGGCACTGCAGTCCTCAGGACAAGCCTGCCAAGTTGCTCCAAGCCCCTTCCCCCACATATGGAGGCAATGATATGTTACTCCATCAATGCCTGTTCAGGTACTTTTCTCTGTCTAGATAGCACACTTTCCTTCTTATTAGTTTGTTCTATTTTTATCTTGCTTTTTTTCCTCTTGCAAAGAACTCAAGGCAGTTTACATGACCTTCACATCTCCATTTTATCCTCACAACAACCCTGTGAGGTAGGTTAGGCTGAGACTCAGTTACTGGCCCAAAGTCACCCAGTTGGCTCCATGGCTGAGGGAGACCAGAACCCAGATCTCCCAAGTCCAGGAGGAGCACTTCGAACGGTGTTTCTGGCAAAGGTCTCCTGTGCAGACATTTCTCCCAGCCCATGTTCTCAGTCTCTCTGGGGGGATGCAGCATTCCGTGGAGGAATTATGGAAGGGGGCAATACTTCCTGCCCCCACAATCTGGGGCCTCTCCAGGCATGCCTGACCTGCCCACCTCCTCATCCTACCGGCCACCCACATGAGCATGTGTGTTCTGACGCTGGCAATTTCCCTTTCAGGATAAATCACGACGCGGCACGGATCCCGGTCGACATCCCTGAGGCGCACTGCCTATGTGCTGGATGCATCAATCCCTTCACCATGCAGGAAGACCGCACCATGGTGAGCATTCCCATCTACAGCAAAATCCCCGTGCGCCGGCTGCTGTGTGAGCCGAGCAAGCCCCCTCGGAAGAAAAGGTGCCACAAGGAGCACAAGATGGTTATGGAGAGCATTGCTGTGGGCTGCACCTGCATCTTCTGAGGACACATGACGAGCAGCGCTCCTCTTCCTGCTTCACATCCTGGTGGGCTGTTAGTACTGCTTCCGTCTTCCTACCCACCTCTTTTTGCCGATTCTGGTTTGCACCTGCTCTTTCTCCTGCTGCAGTGAGGCAAGACTGGAAGTGCCTGGCACACACAGGAAGGATCCATTTGTTCTGGCAGGGGTGTCACACCTCTTTTAACCTGAGGGCCAACCTTAGCATAAGAAAGCTTGCAGGGGCTGTACTGCACTAGTGGGTAGGCCCCAAGGCAAAGGGTTCAGGCCATAATGCAGCAGTTCACCTAAAGCTCTTATGAGCAGTGTGCCAGCCTTGCAAGAGGTATTTCTACTCTGCAGAAGGAAGGAAACCCTGCACCAAGCTGCAAAACTGCCCATGCTCAGGAGGTGGGGCTGGGGAGGGGGTGTGGCCTTCTGGAGAACCTCTGAGGGCCAGCTGGGAACCCTGGGCAGGCTGGATTTGGCCAGTGGTTGGGGTTTCAGCACCACCGCATTAAGGATATTGGGTGTCCTACTTCAGTACTTTAAGGCCCGTGCTAAAATGGATCGGTGCCCAGCAAGCCCATTGCCCCCCATTTAGCTCAACAGCACATGCCATGAATCTAGAAACCGACAGCCAGTTCCCTCCCGCTGCCAAGCGGTCTCTTTGCGAGAGTGTGCCTGTGCTCAGGTGTGCCATGAAAGAGGATTGTCCTGGTGCACGAGAGAGAAGGCTGCCCAGGGCAGGAGGAGGAAATGGCTGCGGTGCAGGAGCAGAGGACTCCAGTGAGATTCTCCTGCAGCTGGTGCTCCAGGCCACCAGCCTCGTTTCCTCAGTGCTCGGCTCACGAGCAGAGTGTCCATCCGTCTTCTGGAGCTGGTCAGTCCTACACAACAGGAGGCCAGCACCATTCCAGGAGGCCTTTCTGTTCCCTCCTCCCCATTAGCTAGCACTATGGAAGTGGGGTCTGAAATACTCTTTGCTAGGACACTTCGCTTGCATCGCTTGCTTAGGGTCTAAAGCCACGCTTTTTGGCCATGCTCCAAATGCCTTTCATGGGAGAACAGAAAGTGAGTCTGCTCTTGCCCTACTTGGCAGAGGAAGGCACCCAGCCTCTCAGTGAAAGGCTGCTTGGCAGCTTATTGCTCACTTAACAGGAAATGATCCAGAACCTGCTTTATCTTGACACCAGGCAGTCTGAGGAGTTCTTTGCTGGCAGGCCTGATAATGTGAGCCCTGGGTATCAGCAGGGAGCTTGGCTGAAGGCCAGCAGAGCAAGAAGGGTGGCCCGTGTACCAATGACTAAGTAGGCCCAGGAGGCAGTGAGAGAGGCTGAGGCAGCCCATTATGCATGTCAGCCTGGGGGTAGGGGCCATGTCCATCGGGAACCACCCTCATCAATCCCATTTTTATTTACATGGCCCCACCTGTTTGCCATTTCAAAGCAAGCAAGACCCCTCTGCACAGTGGAGATAAGAAGGGCCTCCGCCTGGTGGCAAGAGCATGTCTTTTAAGTAGAAGGCTCTGGGCACAATCACTTGGCAACTCAGAACCCCAAGTTACAAGGCCAGGAGATCCCCTGTCCAAGACCCTAGAAGAATGGCTGCCAATGAAGGCAGACAATACTGGATTCAATGCCCCATGGCGGGCAACCGCACAGGGATGAAAAACTGTGATTAAAGATGAACTGAGATGCTACCAGCTCATGGAGACAGTGCAGGAAACCAAGCAGTATAAACCTGAGGGAACAGTTTTCTAGGCCAAAGGTGGGCAACATGGTACCAGTGGGCAGTATGACTTTGGAGACTTTTCCTGGTGCCCACCAGGGTGCTCATTCCCTCTCTCCCTCCTTCTTTCTCTTTATTAAACTAGTTAGCAAGTAGGCTGCTGTTGGTGCTGAAAAATGTGTTAGTTTAAAGGAGTTTAATATGCTGGGCCTCAGACGCCACCTCCATTTTGTACTTAAGTCTTTTGGGCAGCCTCGTTGTTGTTAGTCACGAAGTCGTGTCCGACCCATCGCGACCCCATGGACAACATTCCTCCAGGCTTGGGCCGCCTACCTGTCCCTTGTAGCTTGCCTAGGATGGCAGCCATTTCGTGGTGATGCCCACAAGTTTCTAAGTGGCCAGATGTGCCTTCAGACCCCAAAGCCTGTCTATCTCTGTAGAGGGGGTGGGGTTGATGCCCCCACATCAGAGAGGATCAACTGGCAGCGCCTTTGTTTGCTTCAGTTGCTCAGCAGGGTGAAGATGCTCAAGGCTCATTGACAGACAATGGCTGGCTCTAGTTGCCTTGAAGGAAGTCATTCACTGCTTATCATCCTCAAGAAGCTGCACTGCTGTTAGATGATAAAATGAGCTCTTCAGCTGATTTTCAGCTACTTTTATGCCTTAAACCAAAGCCCATAGAATCATAGAATAGTAGAGCTGGAAGGCCATGGGGGGGGGTCCAACCCCCTGCTGTTGCAGGACACCAATTTACACATCCCATTCAGGTGGCTCTCCAGTTTTTTTTTTTTTTTGGAATGTCTCTAGTTAATACTTAACTTCTCTAAAAATCCATCCTGCTATTGATATACATAGCTTAGACTGGGGTGTGTGATTTCAGGCTTGCAGGACCTACTTTGCTTTTTACTAGAATCCCAAATGCATTAATTGGAAGCAGGCGCAAAAGACACACGTGGAATTTGAAATAGTAAGTCATGTGCACCTTAATGACCAGTTTATTATGGCAAGAGACACACTTAGGGATGGAGAACTCTGGTGCTAATAGAGGATGCAATGCAGTAATTCAGACTCTTAATGGCTGTTCCATGGTAAGAAAAATGATGAGAGAAACTGGGAAAACACAGGAAGTTTCCCCAGTACAAGATGTCTTCATCTGGACCCTCCTGTGAAATTCTGTGAATGAGGGTGGATGAGGGTATCACAAAAGCCTGGACTCAAAGCAGTGTTTCCCCCAACACTGACTTTAAACTGTTGCCATTCACAAGGTGGGTCTAATAAGGTTGGCAGTTTTGGTTCTTTTTGCTGTTAAATGTCATTTGCCTTCTAAACTTCCCTGTGCTTCCACTGAGGAATTTGAGGAAGATGTCTTTATATTTAAACCATCAGATCCCTCTTTTAGAAGCCTTGTCCCTGCAGGCCAATATATATAGAAATGTTTATCAACAGAACTCCATTTGCAGAAAGAGATGAATCAAAGCTTATTCATACCCGTTTTTGCTACATAGACAGACAGCAGTATAAAGCTGCAGGTAAAGATTTCCAAAGTTTCTTAACAACTTCTGTTTCTGCAAGAGGCATGGATTATGGATGTAAAATGTTATGAACTGGTTAATTTAAGCCCTGTGTTAGTTTTGCTTTTATGGCTAGTAATAAGAAAAAGGCTCAGAATGGGCTCATCACTTTAATTTCTAGTGAACTGACAACTACACCCCAATCTTTATATTCCTCTGACACTTTCAGGGTTTTTAAATTCTTATCTTCAGTGTTGTGACATTTTGTATCAGTGTCTGCATTCCCCCCAGGGTCCAAGAACTGGGGGAACAGCATATAAAGAAATCTGGATAAAATGTGATCTGGCATCTGTGTCATGATCCTGCTATATTTATTGCTGGTAATTTTAATGACAGTTGGATGGGAAGACTGGTTATTTGTAGGAAATAGTCCTCAAACTGAGGATTTGTTTCCTCGGTCACAAACAGCTTTGCAGGATTCAGTTATAAAGAAACCTGCTTTAAACTGTTCATTAAACATCAGTGGATGATTAGCAAGTTAGTACACCTTGGATTTAAGATGCTCTTGGGGAATGCTGTCCTGCGGGTGGCATATAGTACTGAATTGGTAGGATGGGCAAATGCTATTACATTGAAATTATCCGAATTCATTTTGAGGTCATTCTTGAGACTACCATCTGATACCAGTATTGCCATAAATGGATTGGAAGGTAGGGATTCTCCCCCCCCCCCCGCCCGCCCCGTACTGTCCTGTACAGGTTTTATTTTCAACTGGCTGAAATTGCAGCACATGCTAGCGGCCCTATCCAGAGCAGTGGATTCCCCACCTCCCAGACCCTGGAACCTCCCACCCACAAAGTCCCCATCTTACCAGGACCCAATTTCAGTTGGTTGGCCCTCATCCAGCCACCACTGCATCCAAAGACCACTCCAGGTTGTGCATGGTCATACCCGAGTCAGATGTAACCCAGAAATAGAGCTGAGCGTCATCTGCATACTGCTGACACCTTGCCCCAAACCCCCCAGTGACAAGATTGTGCCCGGTGGCCCTCCACAGCACAACTGAAAGGGGGCCGAGTCACAATTCCTTGTGTCACTGTCTGGGACTGATCCTACAGTCAGGAATGAAACCTCTTCAGTACAAGTCCCCTCAATCCAACCTCAAGGAGCTGGTGGAGGGAAACACCATGGCCAGTGGTTTGAAAGACAGCCGAGAGATCAAGGAGAAGCAACAAGCACACTCTGGCATCCCTCTCCAGGCAGACCAAGCCCTTTTCTACCCCAAAACCTGGCCTGGAGCAAGGCTGGAATGGGTGCAGGTACCCCATAGCCCTTCCCCAAGCCCGTGCAGTTGCAGTTGCTGCCACTGACTTCTCAGACACTTTGTCCAATAAAGGGGGTAGCTGTGACTAGGGGGTAGCTATTCTGGGCCAAGGGAGGGCACTTTCAGGAGGGGCTGCACAAAGGTGACACCCCTGAGTGTGGATCAATTCCTGATGGCCACCTGGCTGCTCTCCTAGAACTGCAAACCACTGTATTGCAAATGAAGTTAAAGAGGAGTGGTGTTTTCAAACTGTTCCTCATTTTCCTAGTCTGTTAAATCTAATTATGGCCCATCAGACTTCTTGAATTATCTGCTGGTTTCCCCAGGAAAAAAAACTGTTTTCAGAGTATGCCTACAGAGTGCCTGAAGGGGGAAAATGCTGAAATATCAGTAAATTGCTGGATATGTTTTGTGACCAGAAAGAGGTAGCAGACATTGTCCATTATGTAGTGAATTGTTATCTGTTATTACCTCCCAAGGGACAGATTTCTGGAAGAGATAGTTGAAAAAGTTCTTTTTTTGAATAGTAGGATGAAGATTAGTTATTTATTGAGAGATAAATAACTACATTACATATATTGTCTCTCTGTTTGCACTTACAGGTCAATGGATGAGATACAAATATATTACACATGATGGAGCTGAATGTGTTCAGGATTATTTACCCTAAAACATAGATTTCAATCAGAATATGTTTTATGTTTGTGATAACCATTAATTTTTAGCAAATAAATCCAATTAACTGACACTCAGAATTAAAAATAACTGGGAGTCTTGCAGCACCGTTCATAAATTCATTATAACATGGGCTTTCCAAGGCCGCAGGCCACTTCATCAGATTGAATGGACTGCAGTTCACAAAAGCTTGTGCTATAATTAATTTGTTAGTTGTTAAGGTGCCACAGGACTCTTTGCTGCTTTTACTGCAACAGACAAACAGTTACCCTCTGGAAAGGGTTACTCAGAGAAAGCTGAGCCCAGGAATTGTTCTGAGAACAGAATGGAGTTCATGTCCTTCCACACATTTTCTTGTTTCCATGGTTAAGCTACTGGAAGTGAGGAATCTTCACTGATCTGTTTTAATATCACTCAGATCTACTAGATTATGATCCACCTTCTGCCCATCCCTGCCTTAATACAAGCGAAGAGGCAGAGCAGGCATTACTTTAAAACTGAATCTAGCAGCTATCATGTTTTTCCATTCTTTCTCTTGAGTAGGTGCAAGGGGGGTGCTGATCAGGACCAGAGCCCCACCACAATGATGGGCTGGGGTGTCTTCTAGACCTGGATCCGAACTCCTGTACCTATGTGAGAATGATGTTTTGAAAAAAAGACATAACTGCTAGATATGGATTTAAAGTCATGTGTGTTTTGGGCCTGAGACTAGCCCTTTCTCCAGCAACCAGAACATAACTGTGGGAGCCTCACCATTACATTACCTGTGCGGCCAAGTGAAGCATGCCCTTGTTTACCGTAAAAAGGAATTTCAGGTGAGCACAGCTTGATTAGTAGCAGGAAAAACAGCACACGGGCCCCATCCCCGATTCTAAATCCATTTCAGGACTGACAGCATGAGCTTGCTGAAATGAGCTGCATCTAGTGCCAGGTCAGGAAAGAGCTCAAGCGTATATACAGCCACTTGTCCTGTCTCAGAGGCAACCTTTTAACATACTCCATGATGGAGGGAAGCAGCTCTAGTCTACATAAACCAGGAAAAGGCTACCACCAACATGTTATATAAAGTGAGCCAGCATTAGATCAGTCATTAGTTGCAGAGGGTCGAAATGATCAGGTGGTAAAGCAGCGTCACATACATGTAGGCAGGTAGAAGTAGATAGGATGTTATACCTGAGCCTTAGCCAGTACTTGAAGACCCTGCTCAGGGCAACTCGGTTGGTCAACATTAGAGGCTGTTCAATGGGTTTTGGTAATAAAACAAAGAAACATTGTTTAGGAAGTGAGAAAAAAACAAAGGCTTTGCAAAGGCTTTCACACCAGAGGCACAATCCCACTCCAAAAGGGTCATTTCCTTCCACAAGGAGGCTGAGCACAAGGTTAAAGTCCAGCACAAGGTGAGTCAGGAGGTGCAGCTCTTGTAGAGGTAAGAGGGGTCCATGCTTGGTACACCAGGTGTGGCTCACCAAGCCATGTGCAGCGGCACTGCATGGGTACAGCACAGTGGAGATGGCGCACTTTGCCTACAGAGGAAAACCAGCTGGATGTAGTTCAAGATCAGCCAGCTTAGGTCCCTTTCAAGGTGGCCTCTGAAGTCTTACTAGGTGGGTACCCACAAAGCTTAGTTCAGACTCTTGGAAACAAAGAGGCACTGGGGTTGGTAGGCTGCACTTACCGGAGAAAATAGGCATATGAGGGATGCATGTAACAGCAAGTCTTCAGCTTACCTCCTTGCTAAAACTCCAGCATAATCCCCCCAACCCTGCATGCAAGAAAGGAAAGGCTCGTGGAAGGATTTCTGCAGCAGTGCTTGCTAGATTCACAGCTCAGTTTTCACTTTGTGCATCAGGTCCTTCTGGTCAACTTTTTCTAGCTCGTGATACCAGACGTTGTAGGCTAAGAGGGCCACGTTTTTGGCAGCAACAGCAGCCATTTCCATGGAGCTGGCTACCCACTCCATGCTGTTGAGGTAGTAGAGGTTGTTGTGGAGAATAATGGGTGGAAGGGTCTTGGCAGACTCATAGTCAGGATATGCCTGCCATTCTGTCACCTGGACAGAGTAGTAAGAACGGAACAGAGCCTTCAACTCCTGCTTCTCCAGGGGATGCCGGGAGTGAACTCGCCACACGGCAGCCTCTTGTGGCTGCTTTCGCCTGAAGGTGCTGGATATATTGACAGGGCAAATATTATCCATGGAATCGAAGAAAAGGGCAGGAGAATCCGTGGTGAAGATACTGGCAAAAGGGAAGAGCTTGGGATCCAGGAAGCCAAAATAAGAAGAATTGAGATAGCCGTGGACGATGGAAGTGACTGTGCTGTGAAAGGTGCCTGGGAACTCTGGAATGGGAGGGTCAAAGTTCTGGAAAGTGATGTTGTTCTTGCTGTCATGCAGTTGAGTTGCAATGACCACTATGTCATAGAAACTAGACCCTTCGCCTTCCTCATCCTCGTAGTGCACCTGGTAAAAGGTTTTTCCTTCTGGAAAGAGGAGAGCGAGAAAGAGAACAATAACTCAGACAACACCATCACATCTGGCTGAAAGTTTTCAGAACAAAATGGGCGAGACTTAGAGGTGGGAGAGCTTCCCCAAGAACTAATACTGCCAAGACTATATGGCTTTCTGTGCTTTTCAGCTAATCCCATACCCTTGCAGCTTCCCCACCTGTGATTAGCTAGGTCAGCCACACCAAGGTAATTCAAATCCTGTACAGAAAGATACTAATTAAAGGGCGTAAAAGAGCTTTCCTTGCTGGCAGAAGAAAGCGGATGGAGGCAAGATGAGCAAAAATGTCATGTTGTGTGAGCACAGACAGCAAGACCAAAACTATTAGAGAAGAATTGTCATCTAGAAAGAAATGAAGCCTGGAAATCTACATCTGTTGACACTACAACCTTGGGTATACTTTCAGACAGGATGTTAACATTGTACGCTGTACTCAAGAAGCTACAGGATACAAAAGAGCTCAGGAGACAACTGGCTTCAGATTCTAAAACTGAATGGCATGAAATAAAAGCACATGGATGCAGCAGTGTAAGAATGGTGGATTTCAGAGAAAGAGATGCATTGTCTACATAATTAGCAGACTGAAAGAAATATCTAGGAACAAATGCAGAGTGGAAGGAAAGGTGGAAACTGCATTGTGCTGTCCAGCACTTAAAAATATCTGTTCATAAGCATCCCTACTGTGAAGGAGTGCTTAAGATTTTTTTAAATTGAGAATTTGAACACCACAACGGTCTAGCTACCCAAGCAAAGAGGGTATTTTTGTTTGGGTAATTACATCAACCACCCCATGCAAAATATTCAGCCTGTCACACTTGTACAGCCACATTTACATAAAGGAATCACAACAGCAACAGGCACACTACCTAGGCTGGGTGAGGGCAAGTCTCACATTTTCCCAGGTAAAAGGGCTCAGGAAACATGATGTCCCTGCAGCGGAAGAGTAACCTCGAGGACAGATGTCTGTGTGCAACAAATGTGCATTTATTCCTTGTTTCTTGTGCAAGTGATCATCTGGAGGACCCTGAGACCTCTGAACAGGAGAGAAGCCCTGGGAGCTTTTCTCATGTCTGAACTTTGTGCAGATCCTGCAGTCATATTCTGGTCGCTTCTTTGCAAGTATTTGCAAGCTACGGGGAGGGAAATACAATGTCAAAGCAGCTTTTCAGGATAGTCCTTGCTCTGTACAGCCAGTGGCACTGCTCCCGTAAGAGAGGTGCAGCTCAGTCTGGAAATTGTCCCATTTTTGCCCCTACTGACTTTTGGAAGCCATGCCCTGGCTTCCTTCTTGTCCCTCTTTGCAAATTCTGATTCTTGGCTGCTGTGTTACCTTCTTCCTAGGTATAGCACAGTATCCAAAAACACTCATTTCAAGCATAATCTGGTGTGTGTTTAGATAGAAACAAAAGTCTTACAGATCCCAGCATTCCCTAGCCTGGCTGCAGAATAGCAGGAATTGTAGGACTTCTTTTCTGGCCAAACATGCATAGGACTGTGCCTTTAACGTATAAAACATCTCTAGAAAAGTAACACCATCCACCATGTTCTGAGATCCCAGGTCAAGCACACGTGACACTAATTATGTGGATATAATTAACATGGATTTTTCCCTAATTAGGTAAATAAGGGTAGGGTAGGCAACTTGTGTCCCTATGACTGCTTGGGTCTACGAATCCCATCATCTCGTGCTACAAATTGCTCATCCCTGATGTGGGCAGAAGCTGAGGGGATGCTGGCATGCTTCTGGATCATGGAGCTTTCTCACCTCTCATGATCCCGACCAAAAAAAAAGAGTCTCCAGCACTGCAGCATTTTCTTGTTAAAGGAAGATCCCATCAGAACAGATGAGTTAAAATCCCCTAACCTCTAGGGTGGCTCAGGCTTCCATTTTCCTGCTATTTCACAGTTAACTTCAGGTTTATTTTGGCACCAAGATACAGCTTCTTTCTAAAATGTCACAGTTTCCAACCCCAGTAGAAGAGGAAAGGTACGGCTTGAAATGGCTCACCTGAACTGTGTAGGGAGATGGCTGTCACAGTGGCCTGGACTACGTTGGCTTTCGTTAGCTTCAGCAAACCAGAGCACACCAGCTTGTTGCCGCCTTCCACAGCCCACATGTTGCCCTGTGCCCCTGCTAGCGACATGGCCCCTATGGAGAGAAATACAGAGGGTGTCAAAAGAAGAAGCTGGCTAAAGCCATATAATGCAAGCCCTTGTTCTGGCCCACTGGTCTGGCCAATGGCCAACTGGAAGAGGACCCTTTGGCCTTCCCGACTAGATGCCCTCCTGGAGCAAGAGGACTGGGTCAACACTCACCTGCAAATGCAGGCACCAGCACTGACTGGCCATAGCTAGCCCGGAGAACAGCCACAATGACATCGTCAATGAAGCGCTGCGTCACGCCCACCTCCAGCAAGGACTCTGCCACAGAGCGCTGAGTCATGTTGACAAAGGCATCACCGCCCAGGGAATGCAAAAGCTCCTCAAGGCGAGAAAATGCATAGCCGTGGGCCTGGTATTTGTAGATCCTGCAAGACATAAAAAGGGGAAAAGATCTGGAGGTCTCTTCCAGGAGTCCTCCAATGTGTTGCTCTGTATCCCTCCCCCCAGGTCCAAGACTGGAGGAAGAAGAAGACTGTCCTGTTTCCATCGCAGTCCTCTGGAAGCCCCAGAGAAGAATTGGTCTCCTTGATACGTACCTCATAAACTTCTCCATTACCTCTTCCACCCACATTTGTAGGCGCAGAAAGCTCATGCCGTAGTGCCACCAGAGCCGAAAGAGGTTCAGCAGATACCAGTCAGTCTCCTCTAGGACAAACTGCTCCCCACTGAAGATGGCAGTCTTGCCTGCCACTTCGCGACGGTGCTTCAGTCCTATACATAGGGACAACACAGCAGAAGAACCAAATGCTACTTTCTGTCCTGCTTACTATCATGGGCCCTGGGCTATTGGCCCTTCCACTTTATAATGTTAGGCATTTTCCGACTACATGAAAGCCAATCAAGCTCTCTGCCCAGACAATTGCAGATGCGGGATAGATAAGACTTTCCTCAGTGATAAGGGCAGCTTTGCTGGATCAGACCAAACATCTGTTCATGACAGGTGGCCAACCAAATGCTTATGGGAGGCCATAAGCAAGACTGGAGCACAAGAGCACCCTCTTACTCATGTTCCCAAGCAACTGGTGTGCAAAGGCCTACAAGCTCTGATACTGAAGCTATAACTGTCTTGACTATTAGCACCGACAGGTTCATCCTACCAAGAAACGGGCATCTTATGGGTTTCGCTGAGATCACATCAGCAGGGACCAGGCTGTTCTTCAGGCATACTGACAGCCCTGTCCCCACTCACACACAGACGAATAGGGTTATAAGGGGTCTGAAAGGCCATCAAATTCCACTTTCTACCTCAAGGCATTTTTCACAGCCAAACACCCTTGGCACATTAGCCTAGATCATAGCTCCATCATATACAGTATACAAACAGCAAATTCTGAGTGTCTATCCTAATATAGCTGAAATAGGACCATCCATGCACAAGAGGGAGGTATCAGCAAGCCTGGTACAACCCCCAAATTTGCAACAACACCAATAAATAAATAAATGGCTCTAAGGGGTGGGGGATGCAATCCAAAAACAGTTCAGGGAGGAATTAGTATGCTCAGTGGGCACTCAATCCCGGCTAAATGTTGCAAGGAGAAAACCAGAAAATGTAGGAGGGGGAAAGGAATGGAGTACCCTAGGGAAGGGCGTGGATGGCTAAGAAAAGATTTCCACACTGCAACTCTGTTGTTGAAGGCTCCATTTATTACAGAACATTTATGACACCTGATCACACCCACGCAGCATGCCCAAGTGACGCAGCAACTAGGACCAAGGTCTCCCACATCATACCCCCTCCTAGGAAATGGAAGCAGTACCTTTATTTATTTATTACATTCACATCCCACCTTTTTTACCTCTTGCAAGGAACTCAGGGCGGCTCATACAGGTCTCTTCCTTTACACTTTATCCTTACAACAGCCCTGAGAGATATTAAGCTGAAAGTCAGTGACTGACCAGAAGACATCCAGTGAGCCTCATGGCCAAATGAAGAGTAGAACTCAGAGTTCCAACACTCTAACCACTATACCATACTCCTACATGAAAACCCAGCCTGAATAGAACTGTTTCCAGCGCGTCGATCACGCCGACACTCACCCAGCAGTTTAACGAAGTCCTGCATGTGCAAGTTGAGGGAGTGGATGGAAGCCCCACCGCTCTCATACTGCTGCTTGTTGACTGTGACTGTGGCCAGGCGACCCCCCACTGCGTCCTTTTCATACACGTCCAGCTGTACCTGAGGCCCAAAATGCTGCTGCAGGAAGTGGGCCACGGACGAGCCACCGATCCCAGCTCCCACCACAGCTGCAAAGGCAAAACGAAAGAAGGTGGGTAGAATACAGGGCAAGTATCAGCTCATTTCTGACCATTCAACTTATTCCCTAAAGACACGGGGGCTGCTCAATACGCTTGCACAGCAGGGATTTGCAAATGACTCCTTGCTCAGTGGTGAAAATGCCAGAATATTAATAGAAATATTTTCCAGCTCAGTCGATCTGATGCTTTTAGTATTTCCTTTGCAAAATGGAAGCGTTGGCCTGAACCTCCCAACATGGTTGTGTTAATAAGATGGTATTATTTCTTATAGCTGTTTTATGATTTTAGTAACTGTTTCATGTATTCCATCATTTTATTTTGTTTGAGGCTTTGGGATTGTTCTTTTAATGAAAACTGGTATTGAAATATTCCGCAATAAATAAAAGAAATCAACAAAATTACTATAAGACAAAGCAGCCAAAGAACTTCTGTTGAAAGGTAGGGATGTGAAGTCCTGGATTGGGGGTGGGGGGCAGAACAACAAAACAAAAAATGGGGAGTGGTGAGATTTTTGGAAAATCTGTAAAAACAAGAAGTTGAAGAAGTTATTTCCCTGACTTTTTCCAGGCTTTAACCTTATTTACCTCTCTACATATCTCTACTGAAGTCCACAGAAATCTTCGAACTAAACCTCTGAATATGGTTAAATTGTCTGGTCTGTCTTCCAGGGCTTCAATTCTATGCCAAATATGCCCTTAAATACTTTACATGAGAAACTGGTACCCACAAGCATGCAGAGCAGGGTGAGACCAGACACAGGAAAGAAGCAAATACAGGGGGAAAAATCGGATTTGCCTGATTCCAAAACAGTAGCTAGAACATCTTGGAGCAAGGACAGCGAAGTACTACAGCAACTGCAAGAGCAGACCATTTGTTGTGATCTCAATGGGCCTGTACTTATTTCACCAACAATAAATGGTTATCAACGAGGGCAGGGATAGGTTTCCTGGCTACAAAGCAGAGCAGAAGAAGAGCAAGGACTTACAACTAAAGTGGTGTCCAAAAGTCAAGCGGAAGCAGTATGTGGGTCACAATAATAAGCAGAGCACACATGAAATCCAGAATCTAATCAGTGCAGTTACTGATCGTCTGCCACTGGGTAGTTTAAATATGTAATAAAAGGAACCAGTCAGTATGGGTGGGTGCTGTCATTAACAGTGATGAATAGGCACAGCAAGAACTATAGTACAAATGCACACCTGAAGAGAGAGAATTCCAACAATCTACTGAAAACAAATTCCGCACCATGCATATCACCCAAGTCATTACAACAACAACAAATTCAATTGGAGACAACAGCATGAAATTGCTGAATTGGAACTTGTTACCAAGCTTGACTTCAACAGGTTTCAGGAAGAGCTAACTTGCTGCAGAACGAAATTACCCTTTCCTTACCTATTCATATATTATGGAATGCATTATTGCCAGCTGCTGCTAGGCAGGAGGGAGTGGGTACAGCAGCGGTGAATTCCATTTTGGAGCTCTCCAGGGAGGCATGTCGGTGGTGCATAGGTCTGAAGGCAAAAAGGGCACCCCCAATGTGCCCCCCAGCATATTTTACTTTAAAACTCTCGCTGCTAGTAGCAAAGCCTTTAGAAAGGGATCTCAGCCTTTCAGAATAGGGAAAAACACATAAAGATCAGGTAACCACAGTATCAGTTGGTGTGACATGGGGACCCCATGTGGGGCCAGGCTGGGACCCCCCTCCCCCACAGCCCTGAGGTTCTGCAGCCTGGGGTACAGAAAAGCTGCCACCAGGTGTCTCTATTAATGAGCACAATAGCGGAGCTCCCACAATGCGTGCCAGCTTTGCTATTGTGTTCGTAGATAAAGACACGAATAGGACGGGACAGTTTTTGTAAGAGCACATAATGCTCACACACAAGCATCTAGCGTTTTCTCGATAACTAGGCTTTGTATTCATTTTAGTTTTCAAAAGGCAGCCCAGAAAAAGAATTAAAGCACATACCGGAGGGTGCCTGGTTAGGAGGCAGGCGCTAGTAATAAATACAGAAGCAGCACTAATACCTAGCCGACTGCATCCCTCGGAAGGTCAGGTTGCCCCCCCCCCCCCCCCCCCCCCCCC